TATTATTATTATTATTATTATTATTATTATTATTATTATAACATTTCTATGCCGCCCCTTGCCGCTCCTTCGGGTAACATATGCCTGGGCATGGAGGAAATCAACATGGTGATGAAAAGATGACAATGTTGACAGCAGGTAGGCCTCACTGGGGAGAGCATTTCATAAACAGGGAGGAGGAGGAGAGCATCTGAGTAAATGCACACAAGCTTGTGCTCTAAGTTTCTCTCTTTTACAGGATATCCTGGACATTTTGTCACAGCATGAGAGAGATCCATAAACTCAAGCAGAGTAGTCTCCTTTTCATTCTGGATTTATGCTTCTCCCCCCCCCCCAAAAAAAAGTATTGCTACTTACAGGTATTCAGTGGTAGTCCAGCAAAATAAAGCTCCTTTTCACTTGGAAGTTCCTTCAGCCTCTGCTTTTGTTGCCATTTTATTGTCACATTTTTTAAGCAAACTGCATTAAAAATTAATTCCCTGTTATCATGTTCTAAGAAAAAAATCAAAAGCATCCAATTTACATGCATCATATATAATGAAAATTTATTACATTCTGTGTTGTATAAAACAAATGAGCTTGAGTATTCTATTCCAATTATGACTATGACGTGTCAGCTCTCGCTCAAGACGTGTAGCATATTCCAGATATGAATGTAAGAAGGCACTGAGCCACATCAGTTTAATGCATGTGCCATCTTCTGATAATGCCAGTCATTTAAACTAATGTTCTACAAAACAATGATCCATTGCCCAGAAGAGATGAAGAGAATAAAATGTTTCACATATTCCCAAAAAAAGATTTCTACATTTGGATCCTCCTCCTTCTCCTTGTGGCAAATCGCTGATTAACATGCTCTTCTCCACGAAACTGGAGAATCAAAACTTTGCCACACTGAATTTTCTTGTTGCTGAGTTCAGACATTTCACTTACAATAAAATGTGAGTTCTTCCTAGCCCACCTCTTTAAATGTGCCATGGTTTTGCAAATATATTTCCAAATTAGATTTCCAAATATTTCCAAATTTCCAAAATAATGTGTATATTGTATATCTGTATCTCTCACTAGAAATGAGCTCCTTTGGTAGATCTTTGGTAGATACACTACAAAATGCCTCCAAAAAAAGGATATGCCTCCCCGCAACCCCCCCCCCCAAGTAGTCTCCACAAGCAGGAGAACCTTATTAGCACCTTGTGTGGGGTTAAGAAGCTGCACTATCTGAACTGTGTAACTCTTAGTGAATTAAAGGATGGCTAGGTCATCTGATGGAGCTGTCTAGGTTCCTGAGTTTAGGAACAGGCAAATTTACCCTAACTTTATGCAAACATTTGTGATTGGGAGGGGGGAGCCATTTCACTCTAGAGAAAACTTGTGAATTGTTCCATTGTTTTATTGTTGGAATTTTTTTTAATGTAAACTGCCTTGAGATTTTTAAGGAATGACAGTATAGAAAAACTTACATAATTAAAATGATGCCTCTCTGGTTCATGTGTAAGTAGAAATGTGACTGCATAGAAGCATGTTTACATATCATTGTAATGGGAAACAAGAAAAGTAAAGCATTATGTTGTTGCTTTTCTTGATCATACAATGATCACAGAGGAGATAAAAAGCAGGGTTTTTAAAATAGGGGTATCTACCATAAGACAAAATTAAAATAAAATAATTATACAATGAATGCAACTCACTATGGAGAACAGAAACAAAATGCACGTATGTGTATTTGAGGACTTCACGTTTCCTTAATAGTTTCACAAAATGAAAGTATCTTTCATAGTTTGAGAATTCAGATCTTTAAAAGATAATGATATTGCCTTCTATAGTGATTTACAAAAACACCCATTTAGTTTCTAGTAATACAGACCATGTGGCTTTTTGACTGCAGCACCAGTTTGTTTTTCTAATTCCAGTTCAGGTTCTACAGTTCATTTAGGACCCACCCAAATGCGGAGGGATTCTGGTGAAATAAGAATGAATTGCTGTAGAATGAAATGTTAAGCTGTAATAAAGAAAAGAAAGAAAAAGAACCATGCCACCACTACAACCAGAGTATATTTGTTGAAGGTTGACAACTGTTCTCAACTGCAGTATTATTCTTGTATGTTCTATCTGCAAACCAGTATGGTGTAGTGGTTAAGAGCATGGGACTGGGACTCAGACGATCTGGGTTCTAGTCCCCACTCAGCCACGAAGCCAACTGGGTGACTTTGGGCCAGTCACAGACTCTCAGCCCAGCCTACCTCACAGGGATGTTGTTGTGGGGATAAGATGGAGGAGGAGAATGATGTAAGCTGCCTTGTGCCCTTTGTAGGAAAAAGGCAGGATATAAATAAATAAATAAATAAATAAATATAACATATTTGCTTCTGAAGATGAAGAAAATAATACTAACAGATGAGAGCTGTATAACTTATATGCATCATTTTCAGAAAGAAAAATGCAACATCTTAATCTGTCTCATTTATTATCCTCTCATATCCTGTATATATATCTGGTTTGGTTTAAAAACCTTAATAATAAGGCAAATCTCTTTTCCTTCTCTGAATTATTCAGGTTACATTACAGCTTCTGCCACTATGGTCCTCCAACTCTCACATCAAGAAGGCACTCAAGAGAATCTACTTTGTTCCATTATGTTTCCCAGAAGACAAAGACAAAGCCTATCTGGTCTTATCTGTTTTTCCGTTGTTCTTGGAATGATTGTGCTGTTCAATATACAATTTAATGATATGAACCTAGCTTTCTAGTATTCTCTGTGGTCTGTTCACTTAGTTCTACAAGTTATTAAACTCTGGTACTCAAATGAGGTTATTCTCATTTGTAAAGCTATGAGAGTCTAAAGTGTTGAAAATTTACACTCAATATAGTGATTATTAAAACCAGGGCTTTTTTTTGTCATAGAACGTACGGGAACAGCATTCTGGCACATTATTTTTGACAGATTTTTCCAAGTGATTGTGAATCATCCTGTTGGGCGTAGCAGGTCGGCAGCAAAAATCATTAACATAGTGCCTGCAGGCTGCTTGTGTGTCGGTGTTGATTGTTGGCGCTGATTGTGAGGGCGCTGCTCGGCTTGGGATCGGTCATGTGGTCGCGCACTGAGTGCTTACTGCCAGCAGTGACCATTGTCTAAAAGTGTGACCCCAAGAGGTGAGTTCTGGCACATTTTTTGTTTTACAAAAAAAACATTGATTAAAACAATTCTATTAAGATGAGCTTTACAGAAACAAATGTGGGAGTGAAACGGGTGACTGAGACTCTGCCAAAAGAGAGTCAAGTAGTCCAAGTAGATTCAGGTCTGAGATGTTGAAGAGGGGCACTGCAATGAGGAAGGGATCTATTGCATTTTTGACAGTATTTGCAAATGCACATATGTTGTTGTTAGTCGTGAAGTTGTATCCGACCCATCGCAACCCCATGGACATTCCACCAGGCACTCCTGTCCTCCACAATTCCCCGGAGTCCACTGAAGCTCACACCAACTGCTTCAGTGACTACATCTAGCCACCTCATCCTCTGCTATCCCCTTCTTCTTTTGTCATCTATTGTTCCCAGTATTAGGCTCTTCTCCAGGGAGTCCTTCCTTCGCATTAGGTGGTCAAAGTATTTGAGTTTCATCTTCAATATCTAGCCTTCTAAAGAGCAGTCAGAGTTGATCGCCTTGCAGTCCAAGGGACTCGCAGGAGTCTCCTCCAGCACCACAATTCAAAGACCTCAATTCTTCAGTGCTCAGCCTTCCTTATGGTCCAAACTTTCACAGCCATACATTGCAACTGGGAAAACCATAGCCGTGACTAAACACACTTTTGATGGCAGGGTGGTGTCCCTTCATTTTAGTATGCTATCTAGATTTGCCATAGCTTTCCTCCCCAGGAGCAAGCGTCTTTTAATTTCTTCACTGCAGTCCCTGTCTGCGGTGATTTTGGAGCCCAGAAAAATAAAATCTGTCACTACCTCCATTTCTTCCCGATCTATTTGCCAGGAAGTGAGAGGACTGGATGCCATGATCTTAGTTTTCTTAATGTTGAGTTTCAAACCAACTTTTGTGCTCTCCTCCTTCACTCGCATCAAGAGGCTCTTTAGTTCCTCTTCACTTTCTGCCATGAGAGTGGTATCATCTGCATATCTGAGGTTGTTGATATTTCTCCCAGCAATCGTAATTCCAACTGGTGATTCATCTAGCCCCGCCTTTCTCATAATGTGCTCTGCATATAAACTAAATAGGCAGGGAGACAGTATACAGCCTTGCCGAACTCCTTTCTCAATTTTGAACCAATCAGTGGTTCCATATCCAGTTCTCACTGTTGGTTCTCGACCCGCATATTGGTTTCTCAATAGACAAGTAAGATGGTCTGGTACCCCCATCTCTTTAAGAACTTGCCACAAGTTGTTGTGATCCACACAATCAAAGGCTTTAGCATAGTCAATGAAGCAGAAGTAGATGTTTTTCTGGAACTTCCTAGCTTTCTCCATGATCCAGTGTATGTCTGCAGTTTGATCTTTAGTTCCTCTCCCTCTTCGAAATCCTGCCTGTACTTCTGGTCGTTCTCGGTCCACATACTGCTGGAGCCTAGCTTGTAGGATTTTGAGCATAACTTTGCTACCATGTAAAATGAGGGCAATGGTGCAATAGTTTGAACATTCTTTGACATTGCCCTGCTTTGGAATCGGAATGTAAACTGACCTTTTCCAATCCTATGGTCACTGTTGAGTTTTCCAAGTTTGCTGGTATATTGAGTGTAGCACTTTTACTGCATTGTCTTTTAGGATTCTGAATAGCTCAACTGGAATACTGTCACCTCCACTAGCTTTGTTGCTGCTCAGACTTCCTAAGGCCCATTTGACTTCACATTCCAGAATGTCTGACTCGAGGTCAGAGACCACCCCATCGTGGTTATCAGGGACATTAAGCTCTTTCTTGTATAGTTCTGCGTAATCTTGCCACCTCTTCTTAATCTCTTCTGCCTCTGTTAGGTCCCTGCCATTTTGGTCCTTTATCATGCCCATCTTTGCATGAAATGTTCCCTTCATAGCTCCAATTTTCTTGAAGAGATCTCTGGTCCCCCCTATTCTATTGTTTTCTTCTATTTCTTTGCACTGTTCATTTAAGAAGGCCTTCTTATCTCTTCTGGCTATTCTCTGGAATTCTGCATTCAATTGGGTGTATCTTTCTCTTTCTCCATTGCCTTTCGCTTCCCTTCTTTCCTCAGCTATTTGTAAAGCTTCCTCAGACAGCCATTTTGCTTTCTTGCATTTCTTTTTCTTTGGGATGGTTTTAGTTGCTACCTCTTGTACAATGTTGTTGTTGTTGTTGTTGTTGTTGTTGTTGTTGTTGTTGTTGTTATTATTATTATTATTATTATTATTATTATAACATTTCTATGCCGCCCCTTGCCGAAACCTCGGGGTGGCTTACAACATGATAAAATACATTGAAATACAATAGTACATAATAAATTACCATTAAATATAACAATACAAAAAATACATTGATTTACAAATACAAAATTAAAATTATCAGTATAAAATAAAAATATAGGAGGAGAAAGAGAAGGAAGAAGAAGTTGCCCAGGCCAGATCATATGTTTTAACAATTGAAATGATGTTTAAATAAAAAGGTCTTTACCTGGCGCCAAAAAACCAGTAACGACGGTGCCAGGCGGACCTCTTTGGGGAGTGAATTCCATAGGTTGGGCGCCACCGCAGAGAAAGCCCTCCTCGGGTACTTACTCTCCTAATTTCTTTCATGGAGGGTTCCCGGAGAAGGGACTCTCCCGCAGATCTCAAAGGGCGGTCGGGCATATACGGACGTAAGCGCTCGTTCAGGTAGCCAGGACCCAAGCCGTTTAGGGCTTTGTAGGTCATAATCAACACCTTGAATTGGGCCCGGGCTTCAATGGGAAGCCAGTGAAGCTGATGGAGGACTGGAGTCATGTGAGCATAACGCCCCGTCCCCGTCAGCAACCTGGCAGCTCTATTTTGCACCAATTGAAGTGTTCGGACTGTCTTCAGGGGAAGCCCCACGTAAAGCGCGTTACAGAAGTCTAGGTGGGAAGTCACCAGCACGTGTGTCACCGTCGCCAGGCAGTCGTATTCCAGGTAGGTGCGCAGCTGATTAATCAGCCGAAGCTGAAGGAAGGCGTTCCTTGCTACCGCTGTCACCTGAGCTTCCAAAGAAAGCTCCGGGTCGAGGAGTACTCCTAAGCTGCGGACCTTATCCCTAAGAGGGAGTGTTGCACCATTCAGGACCAGGTCAAATCCACCCTCTCCGAAACCCGATCCGCCAACCAACAGGACCTCCGTCTTGTCTGGGTTGAGTTTCAGTTTATTGGCCCTCATCCATTCCCTTACCTCGGCCAAGCACCGGTTCAGCACAGCCACTGCCTCACCTGGATTAGTGGAGAATGAGAGGTAAAGCTGGGTATCATCAGCGTATTGATGATTCCGCAGCCCACACCTCCTGATGACCTCTCCCAGCGGTTTCATATAGATGTTAAATAGCAGAAGGGATAGAATGGAGCCCTGTGGTACCCCATGGCATAGCTGCCATGACGTAGAGACATGGTCCCCCAGCACTACCTTCTGGAATCGACCGTCGAGATAGGAGCGGAACCACTGCAAAGCAGTGCCTCCAACCCCCAATCCCACAAGTCTATCCAGAAGGATACCATGGTCAATGTTGCGAACCTCCGTCCAAAGTTCTTCAGGCACTCTGTCTATCAGATCTAATTCCTTAAATCTATTTGTCACCTCTACCGTATATTCATCAGGGATATGATTTAGGTCATACCTGAGTGGGCTAGTGCTTTTCCCTACTTTCTTCAATTTCAGCCTAAATTTTGCAACCAGAAGCTCATGATCTGAGCCACAGTCAGCTCCTGGTCTAGTTTTTACTGACTGTATAAACTGACTTCTCCATCTTTGGCTGCAGAGCACATAGTCAATCTGATTTCTGTGTTGACCATCTGGGGATATCCATGTGTAGAGTCGTCTCTCGGGTTGTTGGAAAAGAGTGTTTGCTATGACCATCGTATTCTCAGCCTGTGTCCTGCTTCATTTTGTACTCCAAGGCCAAACTTGCCTGTTATTCCGGTTATCTTTCGGCTTCGTACTTTAGCATTCCAATCCCCCATGATGATAAGGACATCATTTTGGGGTGTTAATTCTAGAAGGTGTTGTAGGCCTTCATAAAACTGGTCAGCTTCAGTCTCTTCAGCACCAGTGGTTGGGGCACAGACTTGGACTATTGTGATGTTGAATGGCTTGCCTTGGATTCGAACTGAGATCTTTCTGTCATTTTGGAGGTTGTATCCCAGTATTGCTTTTCCTACTCTTTATTGACTATGAAGGCTACTCCATTTCTTCTGAGGGATTCTTGCTCACAGTAGTATACCTGATGGTCATCTGAATTAAATTCACCCATTCCTGTCCATTTTAGTTCACTGATTCCTAAGATGTCGATGTTCAGTCTTGTCATCTCTTGTTTGACCACATCCAGCTTGCCTTGATTCATGGATCTTACATTCCAGGTTCCTATGGAGTATAGATCTTTAAAGCATCCTTTCACCACCAGATACATCTGCAACTGAGTGTCCTTTCGGCTTTGACCCAGATGCTTCATTCTTTCTGGTGCTACTAGTACTAGCCCTCCACTCTTCCCCAGTAGCATATTGGACACCTTCCAACCT